GACTCGACAGCATTTCACAACAACAATCACCAGCATAGTAGAAGCCCTAATGGTGCCTAGTTAAAGCAAGGAAGGTCAACGGTTTCAGCCCACTAGTGTTTCTATAGGAGAAAGATGTGACAGGCTGGTCTGTTTCTGAAGTGATTGATAGCCTTGGAAACCCTATGACGTAGTTCTATCTGTCCTTTATGGTCGCTCTGAGTTGGAATTGACTCTACAGCAAAGGGTTTGATAGTCTTAGCGCCATTTGATGTAAACAGTGCATTGGCCCACATTGCCATTAATGATAAGATTATTACAGGGACCCGCTGCCTGTTGACATGATCCAGAGGGCAACATCAGGTGGCATGCCACAAAAGATGTTCGAGGAGGTGCTGAGGTTCTGCATGATAAAGCAGGAAAAGAGAAATAGAAAGGTTGCTAAGAGTTACTATTTTCCCCCAGTTAACAATATTCCTTCGCCCTTTGAACAGACAAACATCCTTAGGGCTATCAGAAAACACAAAGCACATACATCTCCCTTAAGCTAAACACACAATTTTGAGGAAAATAAAATTTTAAATGTGATGATTACTTGAGGAGACCAAGGTAGGAACAAAACCTCTATTCATCTGAAAGGTTGAAGGCAAAGCACCATTGTTTATAAAGCAACTGTTCAGTGCATCTATAATGAAGTAACAGTCTAGTGGAATGGAATAGCTTCTTATTTTGCCAACTGCAAATTAAGAATACAATGTTTCTTATGATTTGTGGTCTATTTTCTTCAGTTTTTATTCCTCTCAGTTTTTATGATGCTTTTCATTCCTGTGTAAATCCATTGTAATTTGGAGGTTTTCATATTTTTCCACAAATTTACTTTTGTAATTTTAATTTGGAAGTTTTTACTTTTTCCACAAATTTAAATGAACCCTGTATAAAACAGGCATAAAATTATTTTAAAATATTAGTATGTTTCAGATAAATATAATACATAATATAATCATGTTTGTTTTTCTTAGAGGCCGTCGAGTCAGTTTTGACTCATAGTGAGTCCATGTTACAGAATTTCACTGCCCTAGAGAGTTTCTTAGGCTGAAATCTTTAGGAGAACCAATCACCAGGTCTTTCATGGAGCCGTTGAATGGGGCCCAACTGCCAACCTTTTGGTTAGCAGCTGAACACACTTAACCTTGCACTTGACAGATAGGATTATCCATGAGAAGGAAGGGTCCCAGTCCATGATTCTCCTCTCCGGGATTTTCTTCTGGTTCTGACTCAAACTGCCATTCCTCTCATTCTTCTTGAAATGTTAGTCATCTTTGACTCATTCCCTCATCTTCATCCAATGAAATTCAGTTAGGTCCTGTTGATTTTTACCTTCCAGCTAGTCTAGAACTCTGCCCTGTTACCTGGAAAATTTGAATGCTAATAACCAGGCCTGTGAAACTCAGGTCTCCCCTGCTTCAAGCCCCAGACAGGTTTTCCTAAATCATGTAAAGACATGCCATCTTTCTCTCTATAAAATCGGAATTACAGACCTGCAAAAGGCCTCTAGAATGCAGCCCATTCCTTTCTATTTGTGAGTAGAAATAGACTCTATGGCAGTGAGTATTTTTTATTTCTTGTTTTCCTCAATGTTCTTCCTGATGGAATTACGTTTATTTCTGCCTCTAGGAGCTGGTTCCTACATCCCATTCCCAGCATTTATTCCCAAGGACTTCACTTACCAAAACTTTCTCCAACCTTTAGACCTCAGTATGCACACCTTTTCTTTTGGTCTAGCTTCCCAATCCATATCATCTTTGATTTCTCCCTTGAAATCATTCTTCATTGCCCATTGTACCAGATCATTGAACTCATAATGCTGTAGCTGTGTGTAGGTAGCTTGCCTGATTTACCTTCTCCTTCTATAAAGCAAAACTTGTTCAGTAGATTGATAAAGATAATGAAATACCCATGTCAGAGCGGATATATGATAGATGCTCACTAAATGACGACTTCTCTTATTGTTATTTTTCATGGTTCATCATGTTTGGCAAGATGCCAGGTGCAAACTGGCTGAATTCATGATTCCAAACCCAGGAATTGTTATCATCAGCCATCCAATTGCACAAGCAAAAAACCCAAAAAAACCTGGCAGTCGTTCTTGACACTTACCGTCCCTACTCCATATAAAATGCATTATCAAAGTTTGTCAAGTTTGGCACTTATGTATTGAGAAATAGTTCACTTTTCTAAAACACAGCCTTGGTCTAAGGTACCAATGATTTCCACCATGACTATTTAAACAGCCTCCTAATTGGTCTCTTGCAGTCCAGATAGTCTTCAGCTTACAAATGTCAGACTTATATCCATCTCTAGTTATGAATCAGTCCCTATAAAATCTATTATATTAAAATTATCAGGTACACACAAAGGTTCCTGGCAACAATCAGGCACTAATTTGCAAAGTACATCAAAAAGCTATTATTGATATTACTGCATTTAGTATGTTAAATATGTTTTAATGTATCTGGCAGTGTTTCTTTAACATTTTTGAGGCATAGAAAAGTACATTATATACTAAGGCAAATATTTGACTAGCTGACGTAAGAGACGAACCATGCCTAACATGTCAACTTAAAGACAGATGTAGGAAAAGAAAAAAAAGAAAGAGAAAGTTCTCAACGTGACCTTCAAGCCTGTGTACTACCCCCCAGTCCCTGCTTAGCTCTCCAGCTTCATCAGAGCTTATTTCTTGAGAGAATATTCCCCTGACCATCAAGCTGAGTTAAGGTCTATCTTAATTTCTCTTACCATACCGTGCACCCTACAGCCGTGTTTCTCAGTTTAATGTGCTTTCAAATCACCCAGAGATCATCTTAAAATGTTTATAGCATCCAGTAGTCCTTGGGTGAGTCTTCAGAGTCTGCGTTCTGCTCTGATCAAGCTCACTACGACTCCTTGGAAACCCTATACTGGGTCGCTGTGGGTCGGAAATGACTCAATGGCGCCCAACAACAACCATCGACGCTCATGGAAGCTACAGTCAAGAAATCAAATGATGTACTGCTTTAGGCAAATCTTCTGCACGAATCTGCTCAGCAAAGATACCAGTTTGAAGACTAAAGCATGCCTGAGCCAAACCATAGTATTTTCAGTAGCCTCATACGCATGTCCAAGTTGGAAAGTGAACATGGAAGACCAGAGAAGAATTGATGCATTTGAGTTATGGTGTTGGAAAGGAATATTAACAGTACCATGGACTGCCAAAAGAACAAACAAGTCTCTGTTGGAAGAAGTACAACCAGAAGGCTCCTTAGAAGCCAGGATGACCAACTTCGTCTCTCATACTTCAGACATATTATCAGGAAGGACCAATTCCTGTAGAAGGACTTCATGCTTGGTAAAGTGGAGGGTCAGCAAAAAAGAGGAAGACCCCCCAGTGAGATGGATCGGCACAGTGGCAGCAGCAATGGGCTCAAGCATAGCAATGACTTGTGAGCTTGGCGCAGGACCAGGCAGAGTTGCATTCTGTCATGCATAAGGTTGTTATGAGTCAGTGCGGACTCAATGGTACGTAACAAAAACAACAACAAGCTCCCAGGCAACGCTGATTCTGCTAGTCAAGACATTGACCACACTTGACAGTAAAATTTTATATACGTTGCTTACTTTAATATTATCTATTACAGGACATGGCTCTGTAGGACAATTCACAGGACCACAAGAGCAGTTTGAATTGCAAGGTCAGTAGTTCAAATTCACCAGCCACTCCTCTGAAACTCTGTACAGGGTTGCTATGAGTTGGAACCTACTCAATGGCACTTATCAACAGCAACAACATTCCAGGGTATGGGTATATATTTGTTTGGTTAAAAATTCACTTAAAGTCTACCTTTCTACCTACGTTGTCAGCTTCAGAAGTCACTGTTCTGTCTCCAGCATCTAGTCCTATGTCTAGCACATAAGAGAAGATGAAGAATAAATGCGTGTTGAGTAAATGAGATATTCAGTACAATGCCTTACAGATCCATGCTGAATATTTCTTCCCCCCTCCTCTTTGTCTTTCTTTATCTTCATTGTTTTCTTTTCACAACTTAGTAGTTGTTCCTCGAAATTCTGCAAAGAAATTTCG